ACAAGATATATCCCGATCAATGATCACGCTAAATAAACTACTGTCCATAAAAAAACACTACATCTAGATCTAGATCTAGATCAACCACCAGATGTACGTATATATTATTCTTAGCCTCAGGCAATATATTATACAATCACACAAACCTCACTACTTTCGGCTTCTCACGCCGAATTCACTTCTATAGAGACTTCAAAAACCACTCATATTATTAAAAGGATCGTATTGTGAGTAATTTGCAATCATCTATTTTGTGGATGAATCTTGCAGTTGCCATGGTAACGGTGGCCATAAAGGAAAATGAACCATTTTTGACATGTTTTTTTTATCTCAAAAAGTCAACACATCACAAGCTTTTTCATATATAAGACTTACAAACATCAATAACTTTAGGTAGAAATAAGATTCAAAAAGCATTTGATATCTTGCTTAGCCTTATTTGGACCACATCTCATTTAGATTTAAATCCATTCTTAAACTTCTGACTTAAGCAAAAAATGTACAGAAAAATATGATTTCGAGGAAAATGCAATTTTAATTCAAAATTTGTTCTCAGAAGTAGTAAATCCTTACCTTTCAAAAGCATTTTAGAAGAAATTATTCTATTTGAGGCATAATACTTGGGACAATGACACAATAGTGGCTAAACTAAGGATAAAACAAAAATTTGAAGCTAAACCCTCATTTCAGGTGCCATCTCTTAGTTATAATAGCCCAAGATCTACTGGTCTTAAAAATACTGGGATAGTGTTTTGAGTATAATGTCTAAACCACGAAAACAACCGCAGTAGTGTTTATTGACGAAGAATGATGACAGTGTTTTTGGCGTGGGTAGTCAATCTGGCGTGTAAGCGGTAGTGTATTTAGCATAGAGATAGTGTTCTTAGCGTACGCCAAAGTCACTACGGTAGTGTTTACAGCATGTGCAAAAATCACTATGGCGGTAGTGGTTATGGCATGAAAGTTTACGCCAAAACCCCTACGGTAGTCTTTATTGCACGGTAGTGTTCTGAGCGTGTTACACCTGCACCGACTGTACTTGAGTGTTCAGCTCCAATGCATGATGAAGAAACTGATGTTAAGCTAACAAACAGATTTAGTTCTAGAAATCAAAGCGACAACCCACTCACTATGCCCTTGACTATCTTCAACCTGCTATAGCTTAATTATGCAAGCCCACTTTTTAGCCCCACAAGCCACCCTTGCTTATCTTGTAATTTATTTTGTATGAAAGGAAAACAAACAACAACCAAAAAACCAACATACCATTGTTTATTTTGAAGAGCAATACGCCTTTAGCAACTTACAGTAAACATATATATATATATTTAAATGAAAGGTCAGTATAACATGCACACAGCAAAAAAAAAACAAAAAACGCATATACTGAGGAGATATTCAAACCCCGAATTTTTTTAAATGATACATTCCTTGTCACACACATAGTGTTCATAGCAAAGAATTCGTCGAAAACAAAAATGTCAGCAAGGGAAGATATCGCTCTCCTCTGCAACTTCACCAAAACCCAACTTTGAAGAACGCTGACAAGCTGTGGCAAAGTGTGTTCTCTGTATGAAGAGGAAATGCGCTGATACACGCACTGAATGTAGATCTAGGCGTATGTGCCTTCACACAACCACAGAATCTGGACACGCAACCGCCTTCAATTCAATGTTCAGCCCAATTTCTAGTTGTGTTTTTTTCAAACTAAGCCACCTGTGGGTTCGTTAGAAAGTAAATGACATAATTTCTTTCTTGTATTCGTTTCTCCTGCATCTTTGAACAACTGGTAACATTTAAGTCACATAAAATGGTTGCTCACATGCAGACTGATTGGACTGAGGACATGTGGTAGTTGCACTCGGAGCGAAAAAGGCAACTATCACTATCCCTCTGTCTGAAGTCTTCATTTGTCTGCCATCTTTGATGCAGGCACTGTCAGGCTCACTTTTGAATGAGGTGACTTGACTGCTACGAAAGAAATATCCCTTTGACAAGTCTAAGGGGTAATATGCAACCATCTCAATGGTGGTTTCAGTACGCCAATTTATTCTAAACCCCTGAAATCTCACTCCCTTTCGGGCTTAGGCATGTGAATATGATTTTTATACATGATGTACTGAATTTGGGTTGTACAATCTGAATCTGTTGTCAGATTTTTCTTCATGAGGTCAGGATTTTTAATATGATATACCACAATTTAGATTTTAAACATAAACCTCTAAAATCTCACTAGCATTTTTATAAGTATCAAGAATACAATTTTATTCCGTTAAGGACAGTTCATATTATGAAACATCTTTAAAAACATTCATGTGAAAAGTTCAGAACGAAACAAAGACATAGGCCACTTAAAGAGGTTTTTCTGTACCGATGGAGTCTTCCACATCGCTCACCTGAGACAGTTCCTAGGTCTGCCAGAAAGATACTAGGGCGACTGTGAAGGGAATTTTCAGAGACATTCTTGCTACGAGTAATTCAAAGGCTTTCAGTTCTTACACCTAGGCCTTCTGGTTTTCACTCTTGTGACACACAAGAAAGTTTTGACACAGATCGGTAAAAGTAAAAGGCTAACCATGCCTTTTTCTCATGTGAAACGATCATATGCTCTAAAATGAGTCATCACACATGAGATTTTTAAATGTCAGGTCCAACTAAATTTAAAATGCCCTCTTTCATTTTAATTGGTACCGCCTAACCTCTGATGCTTGGGAATTGCTTTTTTCAGTCCAGATAATGTACCAGCACACCAGAAAAACACTTAACACACTGAGGGAGGACACTTTAACCCAAGAATTAATTCAGGAAAAAAACCCAAACAAACTGTGAAAACAACTTTCATTAGTCTAGCATCTGCGTTTGTCGCGGCCGCGATTTTTGGCATTTTTTGGTCAGCGAATCGCTGCCGCGATTTTTGCATTTTACACACACAAAAAAAGACGAAACAACAAAGCTACTTCCTAACATATTAGACATGTATTTTGATGAGTTTTAAGATGTCCATGTGTATCTATTTTAATGTGAAGAATATAAGTACATTACATTACATACTATTTAAATTTATATTGCTGTTTGTCTTTTATTTTTCCCTCTTTGTTGTGTTTTAATTTAAATTTTTCAAAAAATTGTTCTGATGCTTTGTATTTCTTTTTTGTGTGTGTTTATACAACGTAATTTAATTACTTTGATGCTGTTCCTACCCTTTCAAAAATACAATGTGTTATGTCAGAGTGTGTCTCCACCAAATCCGAATACTGTACTGACACGCCCCAATTGTTTGTGATTCCACAATTTACCTGTAATATCCTGCAGGCCTACTTTTTCTTGAATCACACGTTTAGGGTTAAAACAGCCAATCTTCGGATAGGTGGACACGCGCCTACCGTGTTAATTGTTAATTGTTGTGGTTATGTCATGTATCCATGCTGTTCTAATTTGGATTTTATTCTGTTGTGAAACCTTTATTTTTCACCTTTGGGCGACTACAAATGATATTTTGGGTACTCAAAACAGAGCACAAGAAATTTTGATGCTTTAGATTGTTACATCTATCAACATACTGCTATATATACGTCGTCACAGTGAGTTGAAAGCTTGAAAATTAATGGCAACTTTTTTCATTTTTTGTGGCAACTTTTGGACAAAAAAATGGCAACAAGCGCAGATGCTAGATTAGTTTGAATAAATGATCATCAAACAATTACCTCCCTTTGAAGTTTTATAGCCCCTTTATTATAGAATAAAAAAGTGACATTATGCAAATAAGTAGCCTAATCTCCACCTAAGATCCCGGTGCTTGGGAGCAAGGACAATGCGGAATTTTAGCCGACAGGCCAAGGGAAGAATCTACAACTATGGTGACCCATATTAAGGCACACAACCGGTAAAATGGTCTCCATCCACTCTAAAATGAACTGGCGTGACCCCTGGGTGGGTTTATGACATATTCTGGTGAGCAAAGAGTGGTTTAAGTTTAGTAAGAGTTTTACGGCACTTGCAACACAACAACGTCATATAAGTGCCAAAGATTAGAGGTGTTACTTAGTAGTTGCAAGAGAGAATCAAACATAAAAAAGAAGGGGGAGAGATAAAGACGATAGATGTTTGATAGAATAGGAAAGAAGAAGCAAACATTACGCACAATAACGTTGTGACCAGACCATTTAAATTTTAGTCTATCTCGCAAATTTACAGCAGCAATTGTCAGGGAAGAGTTCAGAGTTCAATGTGATTCCGCCTGGAGTGAACATGTAGGCCCTATCCACACAGCGAGTGATGTTAGTTTAGGCGGAGAGCTCAGATGCGAGTAAGCGGCATGTTTGGGGTAAACAAACACATTGGTCAGTTCATACCTCGGAATGATCCCATCAGGGGCTAACATTGTTCCGTTTCATCGAGTCTTACTTTTACATGATCACATTCACGAGAGAGGCTGATCTTTGACGCGACGTGAAGTTCAATTACCTCATCTTTTCACTCTTAGTTGATTGGCTGTGTCCGTCAGCGCTTTTGTTCTGTAAATTATGATCTGAAATGCAGGATCTTAGCCAAATTACATAGATCTTCATAGTCATTTTTTTTTTTGGGGGGGGGGGTGTGTAAGTGTTTTACGGTCTTCTTCGGAACTGTATAAGCTTCATAGTCAGAGTAAATCAGAGTGGGATCTTAGGGGTGACTTTTGTAGAGTTAGAACTCTGTTTTCTTAAAGGCGGAAACCACTGTATAACACACTTGGTTAATTATCTAAAAATAAGAAGCTATTTCCTTTGTTTACAACAGAATGTTTGTTATTTATTAGAGCTGTACCCCGGTAGCAAACCCGCTCGTGCTCGTAAGCCCATAGTCCAAGTCACAAGCCTCAAATCACGAGGTCAAAACATCAAATCAAATCACGAGCATGATAAGTTGAGTCTGGCACAAACTGTAACCTCCATGGTCTAGCCTAAGCTTCAAGTCCACACCAACTAGCAATCCGCGAAGCCACTCATGTCAGACCCCCCCCCCCCCCCCACCCTGCTTGCAATCCACTTACGTCAGAAAGAGAGAGAGGGGGAGAGAGATACCCCACTCAGTGTCACTGCGCGGCGGGACCTAGAGCTGGAGTTTGCTCAATTAATCGAAGGTTTGCGAGCAGTGAACGGCCGTCAAGTCTCAAATCCCGCTCACAGCACAGCAAGACGTTTGGACTCGAGTCCTATATTTGATTTGCCTGCTCGCAACCTGGCAAGACTGCGAGTCCCAACACACCGGAAGTTCCCCCTGGTAGCGAGTCGGAGGCAAAGCAAAGCACAAGCCTACTCGCAAGCCTCTGGCACAAGCCGTCCGCTGCTTGCAAGCCTTTGATTAATTGAGCAGACTCCAGCTCTATAAATTCATACCACCCATGAAAATATCACGAAAATCTGTGAGTTCTGCAAAAACCTGCCCTGACAGACGAAAACTAACAACATATATATTTGGATTGAGCACATCAGTTTCGAAAAGAATTGACGTATTTTGCTGCTAAGCCTTTGTTATCATAGACAAGTGTAAATCAATAGAGGGAAAAAACTATCTCTCACTAAGCCCTCATACTTTCCAAAGCCTGCAAGTGCAAGCCTATAACAATTCTTTAAAAAAACCCAAAACAACAACAAACAAACAACACATCCCCCCCCCCCAAACAACAAACATACACATGCAAAAAGGACAGGCCTTCTATTGTTTGAACCTGTCAGACCTACATGAACTGACACCCAGCCTTGACAACATCAATTCCGTAAAATATACCAGACCTTTGAAAATATAAGCACTGCCCCGATAACAGAAGTCTCTTCCAGCATTCAGAACAGAAGTAAAAAACTACAATTCTAGAGGTTCATTGACAACCTGTGGGGCCATTTCCATGTGCTGAGACATAGCATGGAGACTCTCTGGTGCCTCTATGCCAGCTGGTACATCAGGAGCTATCACTTTTGCCACAACTTTGTCCTGCGTAGTAATTTCAACTGGAGATGCTTTCCCTCCGGAGCCCTCCTTTTCTCCAGTTTGTCCATCATTCTGATTGCACTGAAAACTATTTACAGTTTGATTTATGACTGACACAGACAATTGCTGAGAAAAATTTGGTAGGCTGGAGCAGCTTTCAGAGGTAATACCATCAGAGCACTTTGATGCAGCATTAGGTTTTGTCAGAGGAGCACTTTTATCAAGGAGGCTGTATCCTGAATTCAATGGCACAGACGGTGAAGGCGTTGAGCTCTGGGTTTGGGTGACAAGGTGAGTCTCTTGCTTGAGCTTGTCTACAGATGTACCTGGTGAGGCAATTGAGCTCAGATCTGTCTGAGCTTTTGGACTATCCTTGGACCCACCGATTCGCGGGGGAGTGATCTCTTTTTTAATGTTACAGTTCTTGTCTGGGGTGCTTCTCTGATCTGACTTTTCTTTTTGCTTCTGACGTCTCATCTCCTAAAAGGCAAACAAAAAAATATTATAAAAACACAGTCACTTCCTTAAAATCAAGCTTCCATCCATGCAACAAGCAACAGGTTAATTTTGACAAAGGAAAATTGTCGCAACAACTTAGCTCACAGTCACATCATACAACAAAGACAAGTTTTGACAACTGGATGTTCAGTTTGGTAAACGTCTTGTTTGTTTTAGTAAGGTTTTACGCCGCTCGCAACTGCATAAGGTCATATGAGTAATATGAGCGCCAAGAGGTGGATGTCAACACAGAAGTCCAAACGGGGAATCAGGCTTACTCTGCTCACCTCTCTAGCCTCAATAGCACAAAGTCTGCTTCTACTATCAAGGCACCCTGGAATAGCAGTTCACAAAAGAGTGACAAACACACAAAACAAGTAGAGGAAAAAAGACGATAGTAAGGATGAGGAAAGAAAAAGCAGCAGTTCCCCCTATGTTGTTCCAGCATAGTATGAGCATGACATTAATAAATCAGACCATTTACAATTCAACTGTACAAAAGAACATGTTAACCTCCCTTTGAAATTGGCCTAAAGACACCTCAGTCACTGGCACTTCCGGGGGGGGGGGGGGGGGGGGGGGGGAGATTTGGTTGTTTTCATGACAGTGAACAGTACGGCTTGGTTTGATTTCATGGTAAGGTTAATCTTTTTATGGAAAAATTTATCTTAAAACAAAACCCCAGCTATATATTTTTAAAACTTTGCGGCCACTTGGCGCAATAATGCCCTGGTGAAAATGATCCGCTCTGCATTCTGGTCACCTGGAACATTTTTGTTCTCCTGACTGGGTGACCAGATTGGGTATTTTCTACTGCTGGCTGTGCGACTGCAAAGTGTTAAACCCAAAACTGTTTACACTTTTGAATAAAGGCCAATGGCCTTTGTAAAAATTGAGAACTGTGTTGGATCAACGATGAAAAACAAATTCTTTGGATTTGTGCATTTAAAATATTTCCTTCCGGTCTCTCCAAAGTATGGAATTCTATAAGTAGGCCTATGTGCCTATAAGTCAAGGAGGTATGCCCAATACATAATCTAGTAATAGCAGCTTCATCTCTTCTGGAGAGGCCCAAACGTTTTCATGGGCCCAATGTTTGGCATAATATTTTGGAGTCACTGTTCCCATTCATTAAGGAGAAACAAATGTCCAGACTAGGTTATTCAAGAGGCGGGACCTCCGAGTTTAACGTCCATCTCCGAAAGGACCGGGCCAAATGGGAATTTCGTGTAAAGTGTCTTTCCCAAGGACACAATGTAGCCTCAGCTCAAGGCTCAAATCCCCGAACCTGCAACCTCGTGATTACAAGTCCGGTAGTGTAACCACTAGGCTACCGATGCCACTTGGCTGAGGGTTAATTTATTGACTGTTGGCTTGACACTTGCAAAAACGAAAGAAACCGAGGGGATGCGTCGCAAGTATTTGATCCCGAGTGTACATCACTACACAACACTGCAACTGATTGTCTTTTGTCTTAAGGGGAGGCGTAGACTCCAAGGAAAATTTCCTGAAAGAATGACTTTTAGTAGTAGTACAGGGTTTTACGGCGCTCGCAACTGCATAAGGTCATATGGGCGCGCGAAACACAAGTTGTTTGCATTCGAAATAGTTCACTGCACGGTTGGTTATCTTTTGGACTTTAAAATGCTTAAATGTTAAAATTCGGTGTAAATATATTTGCTATTTAAAACAACTCTTAAATAACAAACATTTTTAATAGTACGATTTCACTTTATAATTTGCCATAAAGGCCAATGGCCTTCGTAAAATTCAAAATTCTACTGGGACCAACGACGGAAAAAATGTCTTGCAATTTCTTGCATTTATAATATTTCCTTCGGATCTCTCCAAAGTCTAGACATTCGGTTAAGATGTGTCTAATGGTAAAATCTGTGTTGCATCCGACACAGAACGGTTTCTCATCTCCCTGTAGGAGGTATTTGTGGGTCAGGGCCGGGTGTCCGATGCACAATCGAGTAAAAATGACTTTGTCTCTTCTGGAGAGGTCCGAAGGATTTCGCTGTTTCAGTTTGGGTTTTATAACAAACAGTTTATTGTTTTTCTGTTTTTCCCAGTGGCTCTCCCACAGACTGGAGTTGTACTTTTTGAATTTATTTCGAAAGTCAGTCTGTGGGAGAGTGTTTGTCGTTGATCCCAGCAGAAGGGTTGAAGCTTTCTTCGCCAGGTCGTCTATCTGCTCGTTTTCTCGGATGCCCACATGGCAAGGTATCCATGCGAACATGATGTTTTTTCCTGTCTCGGATAGTGTGTGAATTTTCTGTTGTAGCGTCAGAAAGGTTTAGGAAAGATTTGTTTGGAGAATCTCCTACGGAGTCCAGTGCCATGTCAATGGCAGTGGCCTCCGCAGAGAAAATGGAGACTTCGGGATGGAGTCTCCTCTGGTGTGTACTGTTGGGAGATAGGGCTGTGGCGCCCACTTCATAGTCTTCTTTGGAACCATCCATGAAGATGAGCTCCGCACCGGGGTATTTATCTATTATTTTTTTGAATTCTGCTTTAAAAGTTTTGGAGTTTGTGCTTTCTTTGTTGTGTGTGGTCAGCTGAAAGTCGACTTTTGCCTTGGTGAGGTGCCACGGAGGGAGGTCGGGGAAAAGAAATTGTTGGATGTCTTGTTTGGAAAAGTGTAAGTTTTTGAGGTCCTCAAGGATTCTGAGGCCGAAGGGTTTGACGAGTTTTTCGTTGTTTTGGAATTTGTTTATGGTTTCTGGGTTTGTTTTAAAAATGCAGTTGGGCGCTGAATTTTCCGGTGTTGAGCTCTGTTTAATTGCGAATTGTAGTAAGAGTTGTGTGCGTCTGAGTGAGAGTGGTGGTATGTTTGCCTCGACCTGGAGGCTCTCCACCGGAGAAGTACGGAAAGCCCCCAGAGCGAGGCGGAGTCCTTAGTTTTGTACTGGGTCTAGCATTTTTAAGATGTGTGATTTTGCTGATCTGTAGACTTGACAGCCGTAGTCAAGCCTGGACCGGACAAGGGAGATGTACAAGTGGAGAAAGTGTTTTGAGTCCCCGCCCCACTCCGGATGCGATAGAACTTTCAAAGCGTTAAGCGCTTTCTGGCACCTCACACGAAGGTCTTTGATGAGTGGTAGGAATGTGAGTTTTTTGTTGAAAATAACGTAGAGGAAACGAGCTTGGTCCTGGACGGGAATCCTTTCCCAGTATAGTGTCAAATCCGGCTGCAGCACACGTCTGCCTGATCGGCAGAAGTGTACTGCAACCGTCTTTGACGGGGAGAACTTGAAACCGTTATTGTTTGCCCACTTTTCGAGTTTGTGCAGCTGCGTTTGCAGCTGCCTTTCCATAAATCTCAAATGGGGATTTTTCGAACGGCAGCATATCAAAAAGTCGTCAACGTATAACGAGCTGCCTATGGAGGGTTTTTACGATGGAATTTATTTTACTTTCGAATAGGAAAGGAGAAAGGATGCTCCCCTGGGGGACTCCTTCCTCCTGTTGGTACTTCCAGGTTGTGTCGAAGGCTCTTTCTAGGAAAAAAAAAGATGGCGATCATGTGGCCTCTTTCAGCGAACGTCTCGCGTATAAAGGTCTCCAGGCGGACCAGGTGATCTAGAGTGGATCGGGTTTTCCTGAATCCGCACTGGAGACCGCTCAGCAAGCCCGTCGTTTCCAGAAACCACATGAGTCGCCTGTGGATCATTTTTTCAATGAGTTTGCAGAGACAGCCCGTTAGTGCTATTGGTCTGTAATTGGATGGGTGTGTGTGGTCCTTGTTTGGTTTGGGTATTGGAATGACAGAGGCCACATGTCGTTGTATATGTATAGTACGAGTGTGAGTGTTTCTGAGGGTAAGTGGGTAAGTGTCTAATGATCTGGTTGTGAATGTCATCCGGTCCCGGGGCTGTATTGCCCAGGTCCGAGATGCACGATGTTAGTTCGTCTATTGTGAAGTCTGCATTGTAGGTTTCAGTGTTGTTTGAGTGGAAGTTTAGGTGTTGTTTCTCTCTGTTAGTTTTGATGTTTTGAAAGGTGGTGTTGTAGTTTGCTTGGGATGAGTTTTTGGCGAGAGATGTAGCTATTGTGTTTGCGATGTCTACTTGCGTTTCAGCTGTGGTTCCATCCGGCCTATGGACGTGCCGAATGGTGTCTGTGCGTCTACCTAAGAATTTTTTAGCAATTTTTAAAACTTGGTTGAGTGGTGTCTGGCTGTTGATTTTGGAGATGCATTTTTTGAATGATTGTCTTTTACTCTCCCTGAGGCATCTATGTGCCACAGCTCGAGCCTTTAAATAGTTTATCTTGATTTCTGTGGTGGTGTTGTTGACCGCTTTTCGATATGCTGCCTTCTTTTTCTTTACTGCATCCTCACATTCCCAAGAGAACCAGATCTTGTTCCTCCGGGGTTTTGTTTTTGTTTTTGGTATGTGTTCGTGGTATATTAAAAGCTTTTCGTGGAATTTATTGTAGTTGAGGTCGAAATTGGGATTAAGAATCTGGGAACATTGATTGGCAAACCCGTCCCAGTTTGCTTTTTTGAAGTTGAAGCGTTCTGGGATCGGGTCGTTTTGGAGGCTATTGTTTTTTAGGAGAATTGGGAAATGGTCCGTACTGTCATCCAGCACAGACCACTCAAGATCTGGGACTAGGTCAGGGGTACAAAAGCTGAGGTCAAGGGATGAAGTGCCATTAGTGGCTCTGTTTCTGTAAGTTGGGGATCTATCATTTAAGAGACAGATGTTATTTTGAAATAAAAAGTTTTCTATTATTTTTCCTTTCTGGTCTGTAGGTTTGTCTCCCCAAAGGGGGCTGTGGGCATTGGAATCACCTAACAAAATAAAGGGTTTTGGGAGCTGAGCCTTTAAGTCATTTAGTTGGGTTATTTTGAGGGGGTAATTTGGTGGGATATAAACTGAGCAGATCGTGATTGGTCTGTGCAGGGTGACCCGTACGGCAATAGCCTGGAGGGTCGTCTTAAGATGTACTTGTCTATGGAGTGTGTTGTTGTC